CTTCCCCGCCTTTCAGTTCTGAGGAGTGAGATCCGTGACCTACGTCTGTTGCTGCAGTCGTCTGATAAAGAGCTGGCCTCTCTTAAGAACGAGCTCAGAGGTAGTCAGAGCAAGCAGCAGGGAGAGATTGACCAGCTCTCCAAAAGTCTGATCAGCACACAGCTCCAACTTGACAAAGTCCAGTAAGCAGAGGTTTAATACATACTGTACACTGCACTGTCATGCTCAATCTGATGTGTTTATGTGCCTGCATATACCATGTCATCATTTCAGGCTTGAGTATGAGCAGCTACTGGAGCAGCATCGGACACTGCAGGATTCCTTTGACCAGCTGCAAGCTGAGGCCAAGTTTGAAGTCGATCAGGCAAGGCAGCAACTGCAGAACAGGCAGCAAGAGATTGATGAACTGAAGGCACAGCTCATGGTTAGTGAACCCAGCTATGAACCTTGGCTTTAAGGTGCAAACTCCAGTAACATTTCAGAAAACAACACTTTACAAAAGAAAACAGCCATGTCAGATTACAGGAAGCTGAGGATAATACTTTTTGCTCATGACTTGATAAAACCCAGATCTGTTCAAGATCAGTGATATTATACGGAAGTAAACTGCCACCTGTGGATGTTGATTCTACTAAGTTTGAAAGAATGGAAGGCCATGTTGTATTAATAAACAGGCATTTAAATGAAGGATGCTGATATGTCATTCTTGGTAATACAACAGGTTCAGAATGCTTGAACCCTGGCAACACACTTGAAAATGCAGAACTGACAAGGAGTGGCTACTCTTCAACAAGATACAATGATATATTGACTTGTGGTTATATTCGCTTTGTGCTTCTTTTGGTTTTTGAAAGGCTGTGTGCCTTTTGTTGTGTTTGTGAAGTGTGTTTTGCACCTCAGGACCACTGTAACTATGGCCATTTTTAACTTTAAAATGAAGTTTTTCATGATTTAACTGTCTTTAATTTACATTCGTATTCTATTTTCATGGTAGGAATTGAATATGTCTCTGCAGACTGAACAAGAACATACAAGCACCCTGATCTCTCAGTTGAGAGAAAACAAAGAAAGCACATCAAAGTGAGTTTTGCACAGTCTCTCTGAAATATTGTCCTTTTTATGAATTTTCTAGTTTTAAACATTTAAAATGTTTTTATTCTGACACAAGCAACTCCGGTGTGTGTTTTTAAGAGAACTTGTTGAAACTATGGAGCAAAATGCACAGTTCAGAAGACAAGTGTCAGACCTGGCAGCACAAAATCACCAGCAGGTCAGTAATCAGTAGTCACATCTGTAAATGATGACTGTTTGGCATAACAGCAACTTTAGCTCAGTCATTAAACTTGGTTCACCCATTATTATTTGCAGATGTCCAAACTTGTTGATCTTGAGCAACGTTTGACCTCTGCCAATGAAGTGATAAAGACCGGGGAGCAGAAGATTGAACAGGACAAAGTAAGCCCGACTGAATTATTCTCCCCCATTACTTATTTCCTCAAATAGAGTGTCAGTATGTCTGCTGCCCTGCTGAATCACACCTCTGTATTTTGACAGGATGTTGTTCTAGATCTGATTAACCAAACCAGAGAGCTCCGCGCTGAGCTGAGCCAGAAGGATCAGACCATTATCCACCTATCGGGAGATATCAAAGATATCACAGTAATTTACTCTTCCTCCTATTTCCCCCTTGTCTGTTTGTAATTTAATTGTTTGCTGATGTAGTTAATTTCTACCTTGTCTATTTGTAATTTAATTATTTTCTGATGTAGTTAACTATTTCTTTGTTCTACCAAATCATATTCATGTTTGAACCAGTCAGGGCATGTTAATAATTGTCATTCCTCCTCCAGGCCAAGTACCATGCTGCCTGCCTTGAAAGGGAGGATATCAGGGAGCAAAACTCCAAGATACAGCTAGAAATCTGCAACCTGAAAGAAACTGTTGCCAGAATAGCAGCATCCAACAAGATAGAGGTAAGATTGATCATATCGAGGACCATTGTGGGCATGTTATGACCCCTTAGTTTTGTAGGTAGCAACAATTTTGCTAAACAACTGACTTACAAACTGTGAGTGTCTGTCTTTAGGTCGAAGTGTTGCAAGAAGAGCTTGCTTACACCAATGAGGAAGTTGAGAGGCTCACTAAGGTCTTAGATGAGCAGAGCAGCCTTCTCCAAGCATCTCAGGAGCAAACAGCCCAGAAGGATGTCATGATACAGAATCTACAGCTGAAGGTGAAGTTTTTTTTATCACCTCAACTTGGAGCAAACAAATAATCAATATGGTAAAGGATAGCACATAAGCTAAATGGCTAATTACCAAAACTTTCCTTTTGTAACAGGTGCAACAGCAGCAAGAAGCTGTAGAGAAAACTATCAGAAATGGAAGTTTCAAACCCCTTGTTGAGCCGACAGTCACACCTAAATCATTACCTCGGGTAAAACTTCTTTATGGTTTAGTTATTCTTTAAATATGCCTTCATGTGCTAGTCCTTTTTAAAAATTATTCCTCTGTTTTCTAAGACGCCTCGTACTCCAGGAAGCTTTGGCAGAGACCTCACCCAGGTGCTACAGAGCCAGGAGATGGAGCTGGAGAACCGACGCTCCTCCATGATGACCATGGAGATTCTTTTAGCAGAGCTGAATGCAGAAAGGGCTGCCAAGAATGAGGAGATCCAAAGACTTAGGGTAATGTATATTTTTTGTTTAAAAGCTAAATGAACCATTGACCATTCATATTTAGATTCCAGGGTCTTCCGGGTTTTTGTTAATAAGGATTGAATTTTTCATTTAAATGCAGTTGCATATGTTTTAGTTGCCTTAATGTCTTAAGTGACTTTGAATTTCATCCCTGCTGTTATTTTGTATTACCTGTCCTCAGACGCAGCTGAATGAGAAAGAGATTATCCAAATGGAGATCCAGACTTTGCTTGACACATTTTACGACAAGCAGAGACAGAGTGGGAATAACAATGGGTAGAGTTAATATACTGTATCTAGTCATTTGGCCATTCACTGGCCCAAACATGCATCAGATCCTCTGTCATTCATGGCATAAGTAAAAATAAAAGCGACCTTGTGATTTTCAGCGAGATGAATGACGCCTTCAAGCAATCCTTACTTAAAGAGCTGCAGGAGGAGAGAGCAGAGAAGGTTGGTATCTCTCTGCTGATCTTAATATTTGTATCTTGAATGAATATTTTGGTCATTACATGTTTCTTTGTCATTCATTAACAGAACGAAATAATGGAGAAGCTGTCTGATACACATAAAAGGTAAGCACCCATGTGTTTTTTCAAGTGAATAACTTTGTCATTTGTGTTATTATAATCCTTTGTTAATGACAAGCAGCTCTGTCTTTTTGTTCTGTGGATTAGACTGCAGGCACAGGAGTCGATGTTAGCCCAGTCTCAGACCTGTGTTCAGGAGCTGACCTCTGAGCTGCGGAACCGCTGTTTAGAGTTAAGAGAGCTGAACCAGAGGATCCAGGATGAGGAGAGGCTACTCCAGGTGAGATTCAACAAAGAGCAGTCTTTCACTAAAGAGAACATTTTGTAGAATTTTGCTTCCATGAATCAGTCATATGGTAGAATCCATCAGACACTTAAAGCTAAAATCTAATGTTTTTGCTCCACTTGTGTCAGAGCACAGGGATGGCAACATGGGTCACTTGTTCAACACTTAAATCCTGAGTAAAATATCTTAAACACAAGTTAAACTGGGACTTTATTTATTTATTTTTCTACTTTATTTTTCTACAGTTGCTGGCAACTGTCATGAACATTGGTGTGGTGTGAGGTCCACAAAGGATGATGGCAAAAAAGTTCAAGTTACTGAATTAGGGTTGATCGATCAAACGTTGTTGCAATGGCTGCATAACAACAATAAGATGACAAAATGTAATAAGCCTGTTATTTGTCCCACATCTTTGCTCTGTGAAGAGGGCTATGTCTGAAATCACTCACTATACAGTAGAGTGCACTATATAGTGTGTTTGCCATGTTGAAGTGGTGTCTGAATGCTAAGTGTAAATTTATCCACTATATAGTGCACTCAAAGATTCCACAGTGGAATGTAAAAATAGTGTGCACATGCCATGTACACTACTTTTTGATAATAATCCCACAGTGCAACTACTTAGTGTACATCATATAGGGAGTGATTTTGAACACAACCAGTGACTTGGTAACTTCCAGATTTCAGGGTTTCAGATTTCAAGTTTCTTTACTTTCAGTGTTCATTAAATTAACCAGAATGGTAAAAGACTTGGAGGAAGAAAGCTACAGTACTACTATCAAATGGGTATAGTCACAATGCAAGTTTCAAAAAACAGATGAAACAAACACAGAAGAGGAAACTTAAAATCAGAAAAGTAAAAAAAAAAAAGAAAATCTGCTGAGTCCTGAAGAGATTCCAGTTGACCTCTTTAATGGTATATTTATTAATAGACAGGTCTGAGAATAGATTTAATGTTGTCCTTGGACTTTGTTTTTTTTTTTTTTGAGCAGTGTGACATTCAAATACATAATGATCGGGCTTAGTGAAATGTGCAAAAATGTTGCTCAGCAACTGCCAGACTAACAAGTATCAGTTTGCTGACATTGTTAATAGATTTTCTTTTTTACAGGAGAATGAGGTTCTCCGTAAGCAGAACATTAAGCTGTCAGAGGAGAATGGAAAACTTGTGGGACATAAAAACCACAAACAGAGAATTGAATATCTGGTCAAGCTGAAAAAGGACAACACCAAACTTCAAGAGGTAACCGTTCTGCTCTCATTAAAGGATGTTTCTCTTGGTCATGAGAATAATCTTGCCACATCACATCAATCAACTTTGCGCTTTTCTTTTGTTTTAAAGGAAAATGAAAAGCTCCGAACAGAGATTAGCTTAATGCAAGACAGCACTGGATGTCCTCTGCTGGAGATGACATGAATTCATCATTTCTAAGAGTTTGAATTGAGGTGAACTTACATCCTTCCTGCTAATGACTTGATCTTCTGTTTTAATGGGTTTGATTTTTTTTTCTTTCTGTTTTTTATTTTCCACAAATCTCACACAGAGACTTAAACCAACAAGAAACTGACTGTACTCACTGTAATGTCGTTGAATCCAAAACCTGGTTTAGTTCATTTGCTTGTCACTCCATTGTTTGTTCCTCACATTGTTTTGGGATGAATAAACATGTCACCCAATGCAGCATTGTGGCTCAATGCTATGTTTTAATAGTTGTCAGACATCAGTGGAAGTCAACAAACCAGAAAAATGAGCTAAACCAAATTTATAGACATTACATTGAGTACACAAAATCCACTGTTGGTTTTAGTATCAGTATGGGATTTGTGGAAAATGACCAAAAATAGAAAGACGATGTGATTCATGAATGGTCCTTTTTTATTCGGGGAATGTCTAGTAATGATTTGGCATACTGTACCTTTACATTGATCTGCCATTGCTACTGCATGGACAGGCCAGCTGTGATGAAACTTCCATTAGTGCAGCTTCAACCTTGGTCTTGCTTTAGATGTACATTAATACATTTAGTCACAGTTCTCAGACTAACTCAGGAAGTTAGAATGATGCTGCATAACTTCACTGTGAAAATTGAATATTTCCGTGTTCATACATTTTTGGATACTTGTAGCAGGTGCTGTAACGTTACTTTTTTTGAATTACTGTAATTAAAGATACATTACATCTAGTAGACTTTAATGTCTCATTTCATATTCTTGGTATTTTTTTACAGTTCAAATACAAATGTGATGTGCCGATTCATTTCTGAATTAACTGATTTGGTGGACAGGGGTCAGCATGGATACTTATTGGTCTGTGGCTTTGCAGCCCCATACACAGCAAGTTGGGATGCACTGTGTTTATCCTGTTTATCCTAACTAACCTTAAGCTTTTCATCAGTTTGCGTTACAGTATCTCTTCTGTGGAGTTGGACCAGATAGGCTAGCCGTCACTCCCCACACTCATCATTGAGCTTTGTGTGCTCATGACTCTGTTACAGGTTCACTAGGGAGGTAGAACGATTGGTCTCCAAACTCGGCATACTAGGAACACACCACCAGACCTGCCATTTTGGAGATGCTCTGTCCCAGTCATCTAGCCATCACAGTTTGGCCCATGCCAGTCACATAAATCATTAGACCAACTTCAAGAACTGACTTTTCACTTGCAGCCTAACGTATCCCACTTGCTGACAGGTTCCATTGTGACAACATAATCTGTCATTCAGTTCACCTGCCAATGATTTTATTGTTATGGTTGATTAGTGTATGTATAAAAGCAGAGACAACAGCACAGATTCAAACAGGAAAATGTAGAAAAAGAGTAGCATTTTTGTTTGAAAAAAATTTTCAAATGTTGAGCTCATTACTCATACAAACTTGAGAAATGTGATAAAATCCCATAGATGTAGTTTTTTTCATTTTATCCAGGTCTTGGGAGATCTATAGGGGTGAATGAAAAGCTGAGAACCAGTAGCCTTTAACTTAGCCTAATTATTTTATAAATTACCAATACTAGATATGACACAGATTACACATCTAACGTTTCCAGAATATTTATTCTGCATGTAGTAGGATGTAATGCTGTGGAAAATAGAACGTTTTTTTTCCTCCTGATGTGTAGTTTTAAGTCCAACCGCTAAGTGGCGACATGAGATGGTTCGAGAGCCTCACACGTGGCAAAGTCGACCTAGCTCACTCGCGCGTTTTTGGCTTATTTAGCTGTTCACTGTTAAGAGACGGATGACGGGCAAAGACCTGAAATATGAAGAAAGTGTTTACTGTGGGACAAATATCGGACTGGTTCACTTCGGGAGCCACGTTTGCAAACGTCAAACTCACAAATGAAGTGGTTGAAAGAAAGCTCGATGAACCATCATCGAAAGAGACGAGGTGAGATAAACTGGCAAAGTTAACGGTTAAGTTCATTTAAACTTAGCTAACCTCGTGCCAGCTAGCGTCCTTGTATCCCACCCGGTGCTTAATTTGCTTAGAGAAAATTATTCCAGACTTTTGGGTCAGTTGTTTTGTTGAAGCCACAAACTCTGAAATGTCAGTTTTATGACGACTGCCTTTTTTTTGAGCCAAGTTAGCATTTGGAAATTATCTGTCGAACTAAATTATTCAGGCTAATATGCTCGTTAGCTAACATTTTATTTGGCCGCCGGTAGCACTCTGATGGCAGTAACTTTTAATATTCTGTTCTCTTCATTTAATATAGCTTTTTAGATTTTAGCACTTTATCAATAAAAGATATAAAAATAGTTTTATCTCTAAAATGGTTTAGGTTTAATAAAAACGAGAAGGCGATATCAGTCTGTGGTTCATTTCCTTGAAACTAGCAATGAACCTTCACAAATAGACATTGAAAATGTACAAGCCAAAATTTTGTTGTGCATATTTTTTCACATCTTATGTCCTCATCACTTTGAATACCGCACAGTTTACTTTTTTAAGATGCATTCTCAGCTCCTCGGTCTAATAGAGGTTTCTAAGCAGGGTTGCAGAAAACCACTCAAGAGTTATGGGATTATAACGAACAGGCGGACAAAAAACTAAAACTAGTAATGTATTTAAACTAATGTTTAAATACATTTTCCACTTAGCCTAATGTCTTCACATTTTTGTCACAAGCTAATTATTTACATGTGATGGAAATAGTTGTCATGTTGCCTTTGGCGCAAGAAGTCCCTAAGCAACCTGCTTGAAAACGTATTCCAACTCCCAGGGTCTTATATCGTTAGTGGCAAGCACTTCATGAAACCTGTGTGGACATATTCCAACTCCCAGGGTCTTACATTGTTGGTGGCAAGCACTTCATGAAACCTGTGTGATATTAAAGCATGACAGTATTTCTTGTCAAGGTAAAAGCTGCCTTGCGATATCAGTAGTCTAACAAAAACTCAACTCCCTGCCAAGTTTTAATGCATGGGTCTGTAACCTGGGGTACTGAAACCATTGGAGACCAATAGTGCCATGGGCCCATCTGTGCACCCACTCCAGTCCCTTGCCAGCCTCTCCCATTCCTCCACATGCCACAGGAGCTCTCTGATCAACATGCTGCTGGGTACAACCCCTGTGCCTTTCAGAGATTGCACATCATCCTGAACCTGCACTCCTGTTTGTATAACCACTTCATCCAGCTGAAAAGAGGCATGGCAGTCACAGCAGATGGTCCTAAAGAACTGCAGAAAAATTGTTTATTCTGTAACGTGAAGCCAAGACCTCCCAACTGTACTTTTTTTTTTTTTTTATTAACATTTAAATATACTGTAATATATTGTTATAGTTTGTTGAATGTGTTGCTTCAAACCAAGTTCTGATTTCTCTCTTCCTCTCTTGCATCTGCATATGATATTAAACTATGTGACAAACTGCAAGGGCAGAGAGAAATGAATGAGTGTTGATGGAAGACTGATTTACCAGAAAATCAAGTATCGGGACGTTTCTCCTGGTAAAGACAAAAATGTGTGCTTGTACTGAAACAGGGTCACATTTTCAGCTTGAATGATCACATTGAGAATTGTGACAGTTTTGTTTTTCATTTTATCTTTGCTTTATAGCCCTATTGTAATTAGATTTAAGGTTGACAGTGAAGGATGATTGTCCGACAAAAAGCTGCCAGATGGATGCTATAATTGCGTTAAGTTTGAGAAAAACTCAGTGAAGGACAGCTATGCGTAATTCCCGCCTTCCTTTTGAAGCTGAACACAAACTGTATAACTACACATTGCAAGGATGCAAAACATTTTTTCTGGTATTTGATTTGACTCTTAACACCTGGCTGAGAGAAAGAATTGTACTTACAGGTGAAAAACTGTTGTTGCTTTTGTGAGATATTCAGAAGTTGAGCAAAGATGGGCTTCTCTCAGTATTTCATCCAGCTCCTTGTCTCCATGGGTCAATCCATGTAAACTTCTTCACTCGCTGTCGACTGTCTCTCTGTTGTCAAATGCCATTAAAGGAGCACATCACTTCTTCGGTCTCTTGGTTATTGGAGGCATTTTTCCTCTTTGTGTTTGAAATTACTGTATTTTCCTTATCATCCCTAGCACTGCTCCTGTCCTGCAGACTTTTTCCAGGAGAGTTAGTCGCACACTGCAAACTGAGTAAGAGCTGTCAACTCTCTTCTCCTTTCGTCCCACTCTCCTCTGTGCTGTGTGCAGCTTTGTTGTAAAGTCAGCTGCTTTGTAGCTTGCACAAAATGCGTGTGTTGCAGAGAAAGAGAGGGCAAGAATGCATGTGTGTGCACAAGTTGTGAGTGTGTTGTATTTGAGCTCCTCTTAGTACAGTCAGAGTTTGTGCCTACTGTTTCATTAAAATCGAGCACCAGAGGCAGGGACAATTGGGAATGCTCTCCCAGCGATGGTGTTGTGGGTCTGGTTGAGCTGACCAGAGGGAAAGTCGAAAGGAGACGGAGACTTGATGCAAAGATAGAAATGACGTAATGAAGTGTTTTCACCCACTGTGAACTTGCATTTGAAATTCAAATCAAACGATAACCTCTGTCATTATGTTTATAGTTGGTGTTATTGATAGTAATTAGAAAAACCATTTCTGAGAATTGCTGTATTGTTCCATCTGGTATGTGTGCAGCTCCTAACATATGTAGCTAATGAGATGAAAACTGATGAATTCTAGAATATTGCTACACATCATTGGATTTTTTTTTCCCAGCACATTAGAGGTTGTTAATGAGTGCAGCCCCAAGAATGTAGACTTTGATGAAGAGTCCCAAAGACAACAATCTGCAAGGAGTGAGTATTCAGCTTTTTGTTAGCTTTTTTTTTTTTTTTTTTTTTTCCCAATTGTCCAACATACTTGTACTCTTTTTCTTATGCGTGTGTTAATCTAAATCCTCAGGTACTGCTCTTCCTCCTCTTGCCAGCTACAAGTACCCCAGGTTGCCTGTAGCAAAGCACAGAAAGGAGGTAAAGTGTGTTCATGTACTACACACAGCATGATGGTCTTTAAGTGCACTCTCGTTCTCCTCCTACTCTTTTGGTCATATTAGGAGCTTTACTGAAATTGTCATTCTGTCCTCAGGATACTGGTGCTGCTTTTAAGCTTTTACTATTTGCACAAAATGAACTCTGTTACATGATGCTGCAGGAGTATATCAAATTTTAAATTGATCAGGGTAAAATTTTCTGTTGACTAAACATGGTGTATGCATATTTTTTGAGCAATGCTGTCATTTAAACTGTACTCTCTTAATGGAGTCTGGACTTCTACTTCAAACTCAGCTTAGCAAATCCATCTGAAACACTTATTTTTAATTTAACTTAGCTATTTTTATTTCATTGATATTGTATAAATGGCCAAATGGAGGATTCTTTTTTGTGGACTATGCACATGTCTGTGTTTATTGTGTGTGTGTCTCTGCTTCCAGTTGGTTTCCTTCATAGAAAACAACTCTGTAGTGATTGTCCAAGGAGCCACAGGCAGTGGGAAGACCACACAGCTGCCACAGTACATTCTGGATTACTACAATGAGAAAAATGGTTCGTGCAACATTGTGGTCACCCAACCACGCAAAATTGGGGCCATCAGTATTGCTCGATGGGTTGCCACACAGCGGAAGTGTACCCTGGGTAGTCTGGTGGGATACCAGGTTGGTGCAAAATGAAATCTGTTTTACTTAACATTGCAAAAGGCAGGCGAGCATGAGGCCTTTGACCCCACCAAATTTGTATTTTAGTTGACATCTGTGCAAAATAATGTAGCATTAGTTAAATTATTCTGTCTGAGCATTGAACTGTGGTGATATGCCTTGGTTAAGGCTGTGCAAATGAAGCATTCATTGCATCTCTCATCACATATTTTTTTGTCTTGGTAAATGAAGCATTCATTGCATCTCTCTCATCACATATTTTTTTGTCTTGGTTTATGAAAGTCATGCAGTCAGTGAACGGAAAACTCTTTTGTGCTCAGAGCTGGGTCACTGAACCAGAACGTATTTCCCTGAGGTCAAACACAGGGCAGAAATGGATTTTATCTCAGGTCACTGGGATTTTCTCCCAAACCAACCAGAAATGTTATATTGGTACAGCAGACATTAGTTTTTAAGACAGTGGTAAAAGTTGAGACCTAAAGCTACGAGCATACAGTGGCCTCTCTTCATTATTCTGTGGCAGTAGAATATAACCTTATTTACAGGAATTGGATGGGAGGGAATATTTCTGTGTGAGAATGTTTTAAATGGCAGGCAGAAATGACTTGTTATTAAGGAATACATAACACCTGATTGCAGGGTTATAATGTGCTCTGGTAGTTAGTGAGTCTACACAGTGCTGTAATGCAAGAAAACTTAACAAAAGCGCCAAAAGTATTTATGACCATGGCAAAGAAACCAAAACATAGATGTTATGGCACAGCCTTTGTAGCCTGAGAGCAATTCATCTAGCTCTTCACTGGCCAGTTCCAAATCCAGTGTGGTAGTGTCTAGATTTATAAATGCAACTTTGTGTATTTGTATTTCAGGTTGGATTAGAGAAGATGGCTACTGAGCACACCCGACTCATCTACATGACGACAGGAGTGCTGCTGCAAAAACTGGTTACAGCCAAGTGTCTCACAGAGTATTCCCACATTTTTGTAGATGAGGTGCATAAACATTTATCTTTTAGCTAGTCCTGAAAAATTTTTTTTTTTTTTTCTCTTTCTTTGGGGGGGGTCCCATTGTTGTCCCTTTTTTGTTAATGGTAAATAAAATCAGTTCCCATTGTTATTCCACCTCATTTAATTAAATTGTAAATTCATTTAGTAGTTATTTTTTATTTGGTTTAATTTATGTGCTTTATTGCTGCAGAGGCACAGTTTTAGCTGAGTTACCAGATTCATTTCTATGATGTTTTGGTCCAGATTTAGTTATTTAACTACTCTACTTTTGCCTAAGATTCATGAGCGCTCTGAGGACGTAGACTTTCTGCTACTGGTTTTGAGAAAACTCCTTCAATCCAACTCTCGTTATGTCAAGGTAATTGCTAAAGTAATCATTCCTCCTCTTTCTCCCTCCTGAATTAATTAAACTCTGTCATAAAAGCTTTTTTTTTCCCCCTAAGATCATCCTCATGTCAGCCACCATTAACTGCAAAGAGTTTGCTGAATACTTTGCCACCCCAGTTCGGGGCAAGATGAGCCCAGCGTATGTGTTTGAAGTGGAGGGGAAACCCTATGCCATTGAGGAGTTTTACCTGGATGACCTCCACAGCCTGTTTCCATTCACAGTAATGAGACAGTAAATATATGCTGATGATGCTGTTCTTTAAATTGTGCAGCCAAAGAGTTTGTCTACTGTTTTGTATGCTTCTTCACCAGGGTGCTTTGCCTGATCCAGATGACCCTCGAATCTCGTTAGAGATGTACAATCTTGCCATCTGTCTCATTCAGAGCTTTGACGAGATGGAGGGCAATGATTCCAGGTGATTCCTTGGTGTCTTAGCACACTTAGCTGGTAGGCCAGACACACTGTTGCCCTCATGTTGTTCCATTATGTATTGATTTGTGTGTGTGTGCAGTAAAGTTGAGAAAGACGATAGCCCTACTTTGACAGAGAGAGGCAGCGTGCTGGTTTTCCTTCCTGGTTTGTCTGAAATAAGCTACATGCAGGAGGCTCTGAACAAGCTGGTTCGCAAAAGGTGAGGATTTGCATTTATTTGTATGGTTAATATGTCTGTGAATCTAAAAAAACAGTTGTCTTCTGTATTTGTATTTCACTGGCTTTATTTTGTGTGACAAGACAGTTTTGTATAGTAAGGATTAGCATCTTAAAGTCATAATCCACTTTAGCTTTTTCATTGTGAGAAATGTCTCTATGTACCATTACAATATATGAGTATCTGTTGTTCAGATTGCAGGTTCATCCTCTTCACTCCACTGTGATTCTGGAGGAGCAGAATAATGTGTTTTGGTCCCCTGTCCCTGGATACAGGAAGGTAAAATTGTTTAATTCTGTCTCACCTAAGTTGTCATTACCTGTTGTACTTATATTTTCATCTTTACAGGTCATCCTTTCCACCAACATCGCAGAGAGTTCTGTGACTGTTCCAGATGTCAAATATGGTAATTGTATTGTTTTAAGATTTTTTTTTTTAACTTTATAATAGAGGTTTAAAAAAAAAAATTTGTATTGATTTTGTTATCGCAGTCATTGACTTCTGCCTGGCCCGTCACTTGGTCTGTGATCAAGAAACCAATTATCAGTCCCTGCATCTCACCTGGGCATCCAAAACTAACTGCAACCAGCGCAAAGGTACAACATCTACAGCAGAGAACTTGAGCTGCAAAGTGCATGTGTTCATTACTGACCTCTCTCATTCTCTTGCTGCTCTGCCAGGTAGAGCAGGTCGAGTATCTAAAGGCTTCTGTTACCGTCTTGTCACTAAAGAGTTCTGGAGAGATAAAATCCCAGATTACATGATCCCTGAGATGCTGGTAAGATTGTCTGTTCAACAGTCAGTGCTTTTTTTTTTCTTCTGCGTTTGGCGATCAACCTATGCCGCACTGTTTTCCCTCCACACAGATTGCCCCCTTGTCCACCATCATGCTGAAGGTGAAGCTGCTGGACATGGGAGATCCCCGCTCCCTCCTCTCCACTGCTCTATCACCCCCGGTCCTTGATGATATAGTGAAGACAGTCCTCCAACTCAAAGAGGTCAGGGAAAAGACTGCAGATTTAATGTTCTCCTCTGAGAGACCCATTAGTATCCAGAAATGTGTGGTTGTAATGACTGTTAAGTGTTTAACCTGGCAGCTGACCACCCAACTGTCACAGTGTTGAACCTGGAGTTTTCTGACAGGGGCTTCACATCAACCGGTGTTTACATTGTCAAGTCTATTAGATGAGAGGGATGTAGGGCAGTGGACACAAGGACGAAATGTATGCTTTCTGTTTTTTGATTCTAATCTTACAGAACAACCATCCAGGTTACAGTGTTTTTACCTGGTCATTTCAAGGCATTAAGGTCATAGTGAAAATGCAATATCCATCAGTAGCCATTGATGAAGATGTTTTGTTACAAACCATTGAAGAGACAAATAAGATTTTATCTTGAGTGAAGTTTTGTCATAAAGAGAGAAGCTGTGTGCATGTCCAAATTTCTGAATATTAAAATTAGAACTTTATTTGAGGTAAGCTTTAGGAGTTGATGTGAATAAACCCTGTTGTCTTGACACTAGTTGGGTGTTTTATTCTTTAGATGGGCGCACTGTCTGGAAAACATGATGACAGTCAGAATGAGGATGGAGACCTGACATTTCTGGGTCGAGTGTTGGCCCACTTGCCTGTGGACCTCCACCTGGGGAAGATGATTGTCCTGGGCCATGTCTTTGGCTGCCTGGATGAATGCCTCATCATAGGTCTGTCTATGGCCACGTTCACACTGCAGGCT